GAAATTAAATGAGTTAATTTTAAACAAAAACCAAGCATTCCCAACGTGGAGCGCATTCCCCACCTGTGGGGCATGGTAATATTTTGGCAAATTGGTGGGACAACTATACCAACAGAATAAGGGGGGCAATTCGAGTTTGAGTTATATTAACAGTGAATTGTTTTCTAGTGAATCTGATTGAGAGTGTTAAAGTTAATGCGTGTTAATACATACGATGCATATATACAGTATGCACATATAAAAATATTTTGTATGTATGTATGTACATGTGTAATTGACATACCTGTAAGAATTAAATATTACAGCGGGGGTGGGGGTAACAGAAGTTTAGAAATATCCAAGTGGGACATGGACCAAAAATCGTTTGGGAACCACTAACCTAAACGTTTCTTTATTTTTAAAGTTTTTCAATAAATAAAAAAAAAAAAAAACTCTAACGAGCGTTATATGTAAGCATTTATTTTATATATTCATACACGCTTATAATTACTTATATGTTTTATCCACTTCGTCCATTCGTACATTGTGCCATACTCAACGACCTTAAAAATGCAATTGACGGAATAGCATTTTTTTTTCTTCATTTTCCGCTGCTAATTAAAAAAAGAAAAAAGAATGATAGTACCTGGAAGGTTAAGTCTGTGGGAGTAATGCAACCCCCCCACCTGCAATTCCATTAGCCGTGCTATGCTAAAAAGGATTGTCACAACCTTTTCAATTCCAAGAAGGGAGGTCCAGATTAAAGAAAACACCGCTAACAAGCGTTTCGATTCGTAATCGCAAAATCGATCAAACTCAACTCACATCATTTTTTTTACCTGCATAATGGTTGGAATCACCCTCCTCCCTCTCAAGTACCAGAGTGTTCGGGCGCAAATTGAAACCAGGATATATATATATATATATATATATATATATATATATATATATATATATATATATATATATATATATATATATATATATATATATATATATATGTGTGTGTGTGTTTAACAAGTTTTCATACCCATGCGCGCATAGCCCCCACCCCATGATTAAAATGAAATATTCCGATATCAATAAATAAATACAGATTCATGAACGTTAATGATTTCTTTTTGCCATTCGCAGTCAAAGTTCTGATTAATTTTCGTTCAATTCTTTATCAACTTGAAGTCGATAAATTAAGTTAATAAAAGACTGGGATTTTATTCCGTATCCGGTGTTGACACTCAATTTTAGTTGTCCTTGTATCAGTCACCATCGATTAACTTACTTTGTCTTGTAACCATAAGTACATAGTGAAGGAGAAAAACTCTCCTTTTTATAATATATCCAGGCGTGCAAAAGATTTTCAATGGCGGTACCAAGACAGACAAAAATGTTACAAATAAACCAAAAAAACTAAAAAGGTAAGAAAATATTTTTTAAAGTAAAGTTTATTATATTTACCTGTTAAAAATGTTATTTCATGTACGTTTTCTTTTCTACGTCATTTTGATTCTCTTAAGGTGAAAAGTTACTTAATATTGCAAAACACCACCTGGCAAGTTCGCCTCCACCAATTTTCCTCTGATCGGAACTCTGCCTAAGAATTACTGATTTTTATTTGATAAAATATATTCCTTTAGTTAAAATATGTAAGTCTACGTTGTAAATAAAACTAATTTAATTAATGATAAATTAACTTGTAACTTCGTTCAATCTACAATATAAGAGACGTTAAAATAAACATATTTTCTCAGAAACTGCGATTCTGAGTGGCAAGTGAATGTACTTAACCGACTGTGGACATTCAAGAACGTTTATGAAATATGTTCTTCAGTAGAAAAAATATCTTAAAAAAAATTAAATTGTTTAATAAGTTTAAAAGCTTTCTCGCTTTAAGAATTCGAAAATAGTTGACAAAAAAAAAATTGGTATATTCTTTCTATGGCTGATTTTTAAAATGATCTGGTCACTTAAAGTCATAATAATACACTCAAAGGAAGAAAAAAAAAAGATACCCCCCCGTCTTTTTTTCTCCCGTTTTCTAGTGGCCTGGGTACATGCTTATGTTGCTTAAAGGATAATAATTTGACTGATTAAAAGGGTACATATTCTGCATAATTTATGCTCTTTGGCTTCTGGAAGTACATTTCGGATAATGTGGGACTCGGAGTTTTCGACCCAAATAAGAAGCACTTAAAAAAAAAAAAAAATCGAAGCGTGCTTGACCGAACATTTCAACATCCTAGCATATAATCAAAAACGACGTAATTTAATAATTTTAAATATGCTTGTTTTTCGTTTTTTTAATAAAATTTTTTCATCCAATATTTTAGGTAAACTGATAAAACAAAAAATATCTCTCAAACGTTACATTTTGAATTCTGTATGTAAAAGAGAAAAAAACGTAACACAATAATTGTTAATGCCTCGTTTGTTTCCGTGTTGTGCAACCGACGAGGTAGTCATGGTAACGGTGATTTTAAACTGTTCAATTGTCAAACTCTCTGCCTCGGCAGAGAGGAACCCGGACGAGGACTTGCCGAAGGGCAAAGTTTCGTCCGTGGAGGTAGACAGGCCCTGAACCCATTTATACGGTTTCAAAGGGAATATTTTTGGCCGAGCCTACGGGCTCGGAGAACCCACGGTAAACCGGCCTTGTTCCACATACGACCCACGTGGAGGCGTGGGGTAAATATAACCGACGAGGTAGTCAAAGAGTCGCCAAGCGCACGGTCCCCAACCATTCTGCTGATGTCCAGGTTTTGTTAACCACAGGTCCTTCTCTATTGTTTGTCGTCAACTCTGTTACAGCTGCCTTTTGAATCCGATATTTCAGTTTCAGAATCAAGGTCATTAACGTTGCTAATGGAATTACCAAGTGACGTGAATATTTCTCACGCTCATCAACATTCTTCTGGACAATGAAGGCACGTCTCTTGGCTAATAATAATAATGTTCGGTGACTTTTGGGCACTGATGATAGTGACCAATGATTCTTGCATAGTTTCTGTTCTGAAACACCTGAAATGTTACTTTCAGAAAGGTACTTTGGGACAATCCACTGGATTCCTTTTGGGGTTACGTGCTTTATCTCCCATGCTATTTAGCGATTACGGGAGAGAGAGATAAGAGAAAATACACTTGTTTGACACCATTCAGGACCTCGACCCACATAATACAAGTATCTATTGTCTCATTTTATGGCTGATGTAACATTCTCTGGCATGTCACAGGACTTCAAAATTTTTCCAAATTGATAGTCTGTAGATGATGTAAGGCTTTAGTGAAAAGTCCATGAAGCCTGTCATTTACAGGAATTAGGGTTATCTCCATTCTTAATGACCTTTCTGAGAGGGAAGGGATGAAGATTTGATCCCTGCACGATTGTCTTGAACGAAAATCTGTTCTTCACCGTATGGGTGAGTGGCAATTTTAGATTTTTTTTTTTTTTTTTTTTTACTTAGAGCTTCATATTTTGACGATGACTTCAAAAGCATCATTCAAATTTATTTTTTTAGTTGGGCATGAAGATACCCTTGGGAAACGGATTTCACGAATATGGAAAAAAAATATCTTTCTGATAAGATTGTGACAATCTAGATGATATATCGTGTATGGTGGATCTGTGTTGGACAATTTGACAAAAAAGAGTGACATTTCCTTTCGTTTGGAGGTTGTTTTTTTTTTATTCTTGCTTCCAATTTGTTTTAAGGTTTTTTAGGTATTTTTTTAAATTTCCACTGTAGACACTTAGTTCGGTAAGCGCTGAAGCATTTAATATGCGAAATATATGAGAGAGTGAAAGGAAATTTAGTTTGACCAAGAAGCTCTTAAAATTAATTTTAGATTAATTTAATTAAATTCAGTTTGACCAAGAAACCCTTAAAACAACTGATATTTGTGATTTTGGAAAAATGAGTTTTCAATAAGCCCTCGGATATAAAAATATTTAAAAATTGAACGTCTTCTTTATTCACCTTGAAGCAAGAGATCTTTTTTTTTTTTTCTTGCAGCATACACTCGACGAAGGCTGAAGAAATGATTGACCAAAACGTTGCAAAATTCTGTATTGTTATAGTAACATGTCTTTTTAAATGAAGCGAAAATATTTCGCTTATGGAGCAAGATATAACTGCTGTGGATTGCATTTGAATTGTAAAAAAACTCACGAATTTGAATAATTAAAAAAAAAAAAAACTCTATATGATCTAAACTTACAACACCTGGTATTCTCAAACAGTCACTCATCTAAGTATTAACAAGTCTTGATGTTGCTTAACCTCGTTGATCAGACAAAAAACTGTAGATTCAACGTGCTAGCTGTGCTAGCACGAAGTCTCAAGCCACCGTGACTGAGGTTTTGAGAGTAATGGCATTGTTCAAACTGTTGATCACACTAGAATATGCGCTTTCTCCCATAAATTGTAACTTGAACAAACACAAATATGGCTGAATAGGCGTCCGCAATAGGGATTGGTGAGCCGACTTAACAGACAGGTGTGTTGGGAAACGGTAACCGGCCATTATTTTTATTATTCCTGGACGCTCCCATCGTTGATCGTTGACCAGCGCCTACCGGGGAACCCTTTTACAACATATGAGGGTCAGGCCACTCAGTTTCTGACAGCCAGACAACCTGCACATATGGCTTGATTATAGTGGTGAAAGTTTTGTGCTGAACCAACTACACTTCTTGAAGAGTCGAATGCAGAGTGTGCCACAAGGTCCCCAAACGACCCTCCACGGGTTTTGAATTCAGAGTTGTTGTCCTCTCAGACCAGTTTTGCCATCCAAGGCTATAGAACCCCATCCTGTCCTGCTAATTTACCCATAGCTTTAGAAAAAGAGGACTCATAAATTTCCCAAGGGTATTAGCACGAAACGGAATGTAATGGATTCGACTGGAATTCGAACTCTGCTCTCTTGATTCCGCAATCTGAGTCGCTATCCATTACTCCCTTAACCCTGACATTATTTCTTACTGAAAAATATCAGATTTATTTTCATCAAGCTGATTATGCATGTCTTACGGCTATATAACGTCGAAACACCGGTTCTCGTCCAATCATAGAAGTTAAGCAACGTTGAACCTGGTCAGTACCTAGATGAGTGACCGCTAGGCAATACCAGGTGTTGTAAGCTTGAATGTTCGGGTGATAAAGGCTCGGAATGAGAAATCTGAAAGTATAGATCGAATTCCAGTCGGGTTCGTTATATTTACATACGTGCAGATAAACCCTGAGAAACGTACGAATCTACTTCTACTCCCAGCTATGGGTTAATTAGTAAGACTTAGAAAATCATTATCATCTCCCAAAAATGCTCACAATCCCAATGTTTCGACTTTAAATAACCTCAAAAAGGTTGATAAACCGGGAAAAATAAACAAACAAATCAAAATTGATTTTGTATAAAGACTTTCGTTAGAATCTATAAGTTTAAATAAATGTTATCCATGGGAAATACTTCGGATATAAGTGACATCATAAGATTAACGCATCAGCTATTCACTTTTATCCTAATCGAGTTTTCAACCTCAAGATATTAAACTCGGATGTAGATTACTTTTGAACATGACTTTAATTAACTTGAGTTAATCTTTTATTAAATGTTAATTAAAACATTTTAATATGTAAAGGTTTTTTAATATTAACATTTTATGTAGAATGCAGATTTAAAAAAAATATATATCTTAATATCAGCTCATTTGCTAATGATGCTTGCTACCTGACCACTGACAATCCCTTTTTTGTTCATTTGCAAAAATATAAAGTGCTTAAATATGGGAAGAAAAACTTTAACTTAAAATCTCAAAATTCGTTACTTTATCATCGATTTTTCCCTCTCGTCAAAAATATTTAGTTGATTACAGAAGACAATAGTGCAGTAGAAGTAAAGTAAATGTACAGCGATAAGAAAAGTCGTAACGTTATTCATTTACAATGAGTTCAAAGACTGTTGAAGCTAAATGCAATTGCAGCCATTGTTTCAATTTTCATCTACTGCCGAAAACCTAGAAAAGCATTTAATAAACCCTACCAGCGATACTGAGGGGTTTTATGAATCCTACCAGCGATACTGTTTTATGAATCCTACCAGCGATACTGAGGGGTATTATGAATCCTACCAGCGATACTGAGGGGTATTATGAATCCTACCAGCGATACTGAGGGGTATTATGAATCCTACCAGCGATACTGAGGGGTATTATGAATCCTACCCGCGATACTGAGGGGTATTATGAATCCTACCAGCGATACTGAGTGTTGTATAAACTGCTAGTTTTTGCTTTAATGGCTCGTCAACCGTTCATTATCATCGGTTGATGAACGTCATCATACAAACCAAGAATGAAGCCTGCGCTATCTTTTGCTTTAAGTTACTTGTATATGACGTCAAATCTAAGCTAATAAATCCACCTCAAATATCAGTGATAAGATCCTCGGCTCGTTCCCATACGGTAGGGGGAGGGGGACATTGAAAGGAGACACTATACTTTAAAGGCACATCCACCAACACCTAAATAACATTTGGACAAATTGAATTGTTTTCCCAGATCAGTCATCTACTCCCACAAAAAAATATCCTAAAAAAAGAATCAAACCTCTTCTTACAAAGAAAAGTTTAAAATTTAGATGTGCTTTTTAAGCGATTTATTATTTAATGTTTTAATTCCTCCATGGCCTTGTGTCAAACCTAGTAACTGTACCTCCCCCACCACTCCTGTAAAGAAAATGTTCATCCTTTCTGGAAAAACTAGTTACGGCTAGCTTATGGAATTAATTTCTGAAAGATAAGTCAACAAATCAGTGAGAGAGAATAGGGAATTGAAGAGAGAGAGAGAGAGAACGAATAGGGAATTGAAGAGAGAGAACGAATAGGGAATTGAAGAGAGAGAACGAATAGGGAATTGAAGAGAGAGAACGAATAGGGAACTGAAAAGAGAGAACGAGAATAAGGAAAAGAGAGAACGAATAAGGGGAAGAGAGAGAGAGAACGAATAGGGAACTGAAAAGAGAGAGAGAACGAATAGGGAACTGAAAAGAGAGAACGAGAATAAGGAACTGAAAAGAGAGAACGAGAATAAGGAACTGAAAAGAGAGAGAGAGAGAACGAGAATAAGGAACTGAAAAGAGAGAGAGAACGAGAATAAGGAACTGAAAAGAGAGAGAGAACGAGAATAAGGAACTGAAAAGAGAGAGAACGAGAATAAGGAACTGAAAAGAGAGAGAGAGAGAACGAGAATAAGGAACTGAAAAGAAAAGAGAGAGAGAGAGAACGAGAATAAGGAACTGAAAAGAGAGAGAGAACGAGAATAAGGAACTGAAAAGAGAGAGAGAGAGAACGAGAATAAGGAACTGAAAAGAGAGAGAGAGAGAGAACGAGAATAAGGAACTGAAAAGAGAGAGAGAACGAGAATAAGGAACTGAAAAGAGAGAGAGAACGAGAATAAGGAACTGAAAAGAGAGAGAGAGAGAGAACGAGAATAGGGAACTGAAAAGAGAGAGAGAGAGAAGGAGAATAGGGAACTGAAGAGAGAAGGAGAATAGGGAACTGAAGAGAGAGGAGGAGAATAAGGAACTGAAGAGAGGAGGGAATGGGTGTGCTCTAGTTCCAGAAATCTGTTTGAGCCCATGTTTTTCAAGGCTGACAGATACCTCCCAGCAACGTCTCAGAAGGTTTGCTGGAACACAGTCTTCTTACTTTAATTTCCTCTGATCTTTCCTTAACAATAAAACTAGGACTAGGAAATACGTTTACCTAACAATGTTTACCCAATAAAATCCCAAGAGCCACTCAAAGTAGAGCGTTACTAAATGAAATTGTTGTATGGGCTTAAGAGGAGAAGGTAACAAATGCAAATTGTGAGAACGTGTACGAAAGAAAACGATAGACCCTTGACTTGAAGAGTTTAAAATTGTAGCATTTGGGAAAGCATCCTCGCAGGAGTCTGTTCCACACAGTAGTGTTTCTTGGGAAGAAGCTATCCGAATGGAACTTCCTCTTTACCAATGAAATACGAAGGAAATGTGGATTCGCCCCACTTTAGCTGGTATACGAGAGACATCAAATCTGCTGTGGTTATAGTCTTATGAAAAACCTAAATTTACCTAAATAAATAAGTCTGGATGTACAAGTCTTGTTACTATGGCATAACCTCATCTAATACCCCCCCCAAAAAAAAAAGAAAAATTAAATCCAGAACAAACGAAACTACTGCCATTGTCACCTCCTGCAACCTTTTCATTTTTTCCTGAAAATGACTCCAATCACTCAGCCATTTGTGTCCCGGGTAAATTCTCTCTTGACCGAATATTTTTTTTTTTTTTTTTTTTTTTTTTTTTTTTTTTTTTTTTTTTTTTTTTTTTCTTTTTTTTTTTCTTGAACCTAGAAGGCTATAGGGACAGAAAATCGGACTAAAACGTCTTGGGTCAACTTAAATGTCACCAGGAAGCATTATCTATTTTTTTCCTTCCTCCCTTTTCACATTAATACGTATTTCCCTTTATCTAATATATGCATTAGCATACACACATTCGACATTTATCCTATTATATATATATATATATATATATATATATATATATATATATATACGCACGCACCCACTTTGACCGAATAATTGAACTCTGATAATAATATATATGAACACGCACATTAAAATTAGTACACACAGCCTGTCTTGTGGCCGAGATAGTTGCCTTATTTATAACTATTAGCACTGCTAGCCAGTGTTCGAATAATGCTTTTCAAGACAGGCTGCCTCTCTATACACTGGCACAATACAATTTTCCATCACCACCATTCCTGTTGGCCTTGTGTCAAACTCTATTAATAAAAGAAATAATGATCTGCTTCGTGGTTGTGTTGCATTTCCTATCGGCGTTAATGGTTTGTGTTCGAGTCCAAAGAAAAACCGGATTTGAAATGCTGATTTTCAAAGCAGTCCTTTTTTTTAACTTAAATCTTTTTTAATTCGTACTGAAAAAAAAAATTAGTAGTAAATATAAATTCGTATATATACTCTTTCCTTCATAATCGCTCACTCACTCACGCACACACAGTAATTTTTCACATTTATACACAAGTTTTGTAAAAGACTACCTGTAAGCAAAAGGGAGAGGCCAAGCATTGAATTACACATCGGGAACGTCAAAATCTTGCTCGCATTAAAAGATAACGAAAAGTGCAAAATTCGAATGTATATCGGAATAGTGAAAGTTTTTTTCAGATGAGTACGTTATTAAATGATCAAGAATAACATTAGAAATAAAGAGTGTCGAGTTACTAAGTAATGTTTAATCTCCTATATGGTAGTAAATGCTGGACATTTTCCTTCAGAAGTGAAAAAAAAAAAAAAGAAAAAGAGAGCACTTGATGGGATTTTTACGAACGAATGTTAAAACCAAGGACAGAATATATGACAGGAGGGTAAGTTTCAGGAGAATATGAACTATAACAAAATTGTTGCTAACAATCTGAAAGGGACACGAATTTATTTTTGTTTTTTTTGAGAGATGAGGAAAGAAGGCTTTGAGAATTTAAAACTTAGTACCATATCATTTCCATTTAATCAGATCCCCATATTATCAAAACCTTTAAAAGTAGGGAAGTATTGTTAGAATTTTCTCTGTCCAATGTCGTACACTTTCAATAAAGAATAAAAACCTGAGTAAAAACTTAATTTCTGCTTCATTTGAACAAGTTTTTCATTCCCTCTCTAAAAAAAGTACCATTACTTACCAAACAGCCTAATATATGAATTATATCTTGTTCTATTCTAAATTGCAAATATTTCCATAACAATTGTATCTATTATTATTCTATTTTTATGGCTACAATAAAATAGTGTTATCATAATTCATTATACATTTTCAAATCCTCCAACACATGAGCCTTTCAATAAACACATACAATTTGAATATCAATATTTATTTAATCATTTTGAAATCTTTTTCATTTGTTTTGTAGTGTTTTCATTATTCTAAGGAGACAGGCATCTACTATAGTATGACACTTAACAAGCTTGACTAACAAACTCACCCACTAAAATTATGAAGTCAATCCTCAATGGGTACCCCAATAACATGGACTTGTTCTAGAGTAATTTATGTTTAGTAAACTAAAGAAAACCCTACAAAACATTACCATTATAGTAAATTTGATCCTCACTGGGTGCCACATGCTTGTGCCTTGGAGCTAAACCTGTATGATTAGAAAAAGCCTATAATTTTAATGAGAAATTAAAAATAAACCTCCTCTGGGACTTAAGAATTGGGCATAAAATTCCTTTCAATGAATGAAAAATATGTAAGAGATTTATAAGAGTCATGTACAAATAAATAAGTCAATCCTCAATGGGTACCCCACTAATATGGACAGGCTAATCTATACTTGATAAATGACTAAGAAAAAACATTTTATGGAACAAGTCAGTTAGCAAAATTGTCCCTTATCTAATGTCTGTTGAATTAACTGGGGACCTTTACATATACAGCCTAGAGCCTTGTACCAGACGAAAATGTGTTTAGTAAATAACTAAGATCCTCGCCATAGACCAGCGGTTAGCAATCTAGATCACTAGTGACCTCTGACCTTGTAGCGATCTAAGCTTAGTTTAGGTGAAATAAGGTACCCTACATTGCTGGCTGTGTATTAGATAACGGGATAGACTGCGCCTCTAGCCTTGTTTGGCAACCAGGTTAGAAGAAAACCAGTTGGACGTGGTGGGTGGCCCCTTCACCTCATAAAAACCGACTTACTGCGGAACGCAAAGCAGCAACACTTGGCTTAGTGAGGCTGTGGTCCTATACTGTACAAGGCGAGGGAGGAAATTTGATAATGATTACATCGCATGATGATCTTCAATATACTTGTCTTTCAGATCCAGTTGTAGGTTCGAGTCCCACCAAGTATCATATAGTTTTTGCTTTGGACGAGGATAAATTCTATAATCTTCTTCCCTTTTCATCAATGTGGAATTATTTTCCGTGCAACGTAATATTTATTAAACAATACAATTTTACAAATCTACATTTTTTTTTTCTCGAAGCCTTTTGATTGGTGCCAAAAGAAAGCAACATAAACTTAAATAACCCTCGACTAATTTCGATCAAACAGACGTTAAAAAATTCACATTCCTTTTGCGCTCCAGACGGATTGTTGTGATTGGAAAGGCATTGAAGTGTCTGTGTGAATTTGTTGTCGTTCTCGCTTAGGTATTTCAATATAATTTTTTTTTTTCATAGAACTGTTCTCCGATCATATCTATCGGTACAGTCGAGACAACGACATTATTTATCTTAAACATTACGATTAAAATCTTACCTGAGATCTATATCCTTTTTAACGCCTCCTTTCTTCGCTCATTATGTATGCATCTCTGTTCATCAAATCAATACAACCATCATCGCTTCACAACACAACACGATACATTAACAAACGATACGTTCGACTTCCTCTCTCTCTCTCTCTTTCCCCCCGCATGATATTACTGTTTTTCATTTTCTTCTTTCCTTCCTCTTCTCCATTTCTTTCCTCTTTTTATTGTTCTTTCAGTCATCATTATTTCTCCTTTTTCTCTTTTTTTCTTTTTTTTCTCCCTTATTTCGATTTTTGTGTCATTATGTCGATTCCTATTTTTTGTTTTGTTCTTGTTTTTCGTCGTCTTTGCTTACTTCCCCACCTTCCCACTCCCTTCTTTTCCCTTTTTTCTTCTGTTACTTTAGTTTTTCTTTCTTTTTTCGTTTCTCTTCTTACCCTTTTTTTATTTTCTTTCCTCTTTCCTTTCTTTCTTTTCTCTCTTTCCTCTCTTTTTTCTCTCTTCTCTTTTTCTTCTTCTCTTTTTCTCTTCTCTTTCTCTCTTCTCTTTTTTTTCTCTTCTTTTTTCTCTTCTCTTTTTCTCTCTTCTCTTTTTCTCTCTTCTTTTTCTCTCTTCTCTTTTTTCTCTTCTCTTTTTTTTCTTCTCTTTTTTCTTCTCTTTTTTTTCTCTTTCTTTTTCTCTTCTCTTTTTCTCTCTTCTCTTTTTTTCTCTTTCTTTTTTCTCTTTCTTCTCTTCTTTTTTCTCTCTTCTCTTTTTCTCTCTTTTTTCTCTCTTCTCTTGTTGTTGTTGTTCTTGTTCTTTCCCTTTTTTTATTTTCCTTTCTTGTTGTTGTTCTTCTTCTTCTTTCCCTTTTTTCTTCTCCATTTCTTTTTTTTTTCTTCTACTTTCTTCTTAAAAAGAATAAAGTAGCAGAAGTTCTTTTTCATATCATTATTTAAAACCTATTTTGGTTTTTCTTTCATCTTCCAGTTCGTTTTATTATAATAATTTGCATTTCTACTTATTCCCTTTGTTTTCCTCAACCACCCCACCCACCCCGTCACTTTCTTCTGTTCACCGTCGTCAGGTTTCTTGAAGATTTTTTTCTTTATTTTCAGTAATGCCTCTTCTAAACTGTTTTCCTTAGCCTACAAGCCTTTTTATTAAGACCCTATTTTTTATTAAGACCCTATTTCTGTGAAAAGTCACCAAAACACACTTTATACTTAAGCATTTAAAGGATTTTTGTTTTATATTTGATTAATAATTTTTATTCTTTTTCTAAATTCTTTTCAAAATAATTTCCGCATTATCACAGAATTAAAGATTTTATTTGTTCATAGTTTTCTTAGGAAATCAACATTCACTTACTCTTATTAAATTTCATTAAACTTATAGTGAATTTGGTTTTGTGCTTGGGAGAATGGAGCGTTAACAGTCAAATTAACATTAAATTATTTACCTGAAATAAGGAACACATCCGAGTTATTGTATTCGTCGTTTTATCATTTGGGTAACCGCTACTCATTATGCACTTCTTTTTAAAGATTGAAGATAATAATAAATCTCAAAGAATGCAAAGTGCCAATGTCTAAAAGACTGCAGGAGGCCAGACTCATTTTTGGAAGAATCATTTTTTTGTGTTTTATTTTTAACTGAGAAAAATATATATCAAGCTTAAGTCTATGATTCAGTTTTTTATTCTTTAAGATAATATATTCTTAATGTAAATATATTACGAGTTCTTGTGTAGGTTTGATTTCGTTTTAGACGAACAGAATAAGGATATCATATTTGTTACATGTAGGTAAGTATTTGTATGTTTGTAAATAAATATAATTATGATCTTCCCTTGTGAATGTCGACAGCATGCATATGTAAATAAGAACAGAACTTGAAATACGTATTTGAAATAAGGAATATCACACATGCCTGTCAGATAACATTGGTTTACAAGACAATTTCGCAAACAATTGCGAGAGGGTTCGATTACCACTGAGTGCATTGTTGCGGCCTTGGTTCAAATTCTATTAAATTAGTATATGAACATCTAACATCTGTCTATATTGATATTTTCAAGCAATAGCTGAGTACAATCCCAAATTTCAAAATGGCGTGAGCCTGTCTGTGTTGCTGTGTCATTTACCGAGCTTGAACTCCTAACGCTTGTAAAAGATATATGGTTATCAGGCGTAAGGCAAGCCTCTAGTGAATGCCTTTATGTACATTGTATACAGACGAATATCTCCTAGAATATGTTTTGAACATTTTTGTGTGTTAGCACAAATATTACTGAATTTATTAATTATATTTATATATAATATCGAGGAACGAGTGTTAAATTTAATTATATTCTACTGGGGAAATATTTTAAAATATTTATACATTCACTAACACCTGCTTGCCGACAATGTATATGTGCGCGTGGTGATTCAGATATACACACTCACATTCTTATAAAATAGATGTCATTATTTTTTTTAAAGTGGCGTAAATTTTATTTTAATCTAATCTCTCACTCACACACACAGATATATTTCTGTAACATATATAAATAAAACAATTTTACAATATATATATTATGTATGTATGTATAATGAGATTTTAAAAAGAAAATATTGGTATTAAGTCATATCAAATCCATTGAGCAGAACGCAAGATTTAAAAGAAAAAAAAAACTCTTTTTCAAAAAGCCCAAATTTTTATCGATTCTTTTTTCTCTCAATTTCATTTATTCTCATTGCTTTCCAAGAAGATTAAATATTTGCCGAAATGTTATTTCGTGCTTTGACATATTCTACAGACCCTTTCAAAGAAGAAAAAAAAATAATGTAATTGATTTCATCGACGCATAAAACAACGTCATCGATAGACTTATTTTCAATACAGTTCTTGTTCGTCTTCCTTTTCTGATTTTATCAAATGATATAAACTTTACTTTAAGCAGCCATTTTTTTAAAAAAAATAAAAGAAAAGCGCTGTAAAATGTCTTTTTTTTTCGTCTCGGGGCTAACAAAAACAACTATATACGACTATGCAATTATTATTGCATAGAAATTGGAATCTTTGATCATCTTTAAAATAAAATTTTCTTCCTTAGGGAAAACATGTAGTAATTAGTATTATTAACCTCGAACCGTGATTTTATCAAAAAGGAACCTTTTGTTTTGCTTACGACTAAAGGAAAAACTGTTAGAAATCAACAGGATTCTATTTTTCCGTTTCTTATATAAGAGTTCAGCGAAATACGTCTCTTTTTAGCAAACTTGATTATACCTTGTTTTCTGTTTAGAATCATGTTTTCTGTTGCTTCTAAATTCTACTTAAACTCTGTATTTATAACATCTCTGCCTAATCCCTTAAGTTTATACGATTATTGTGGTTCCGGTTCCGGTTCCTTCTAAAGTTTTTTCCGTCTTCCAGTAGATCTCCCCCCCCCCCCACGCGCCAATTGCGTCTTCGTGGAGTTATCGTCTTGCTTGGGGTGAACTGATTAAAAAAAATAAATTCTTAGAGTTATTGGGCGATTGATCTCATTCTTTTTGTTTTTGATTGTTACCACAATTTTTCAGCCGGTGACTTTTACTGTCATACAATCCATATGGAAAAAAGGGTCTTTTTTTTTTTTTTTTTTTTTTTTTCGAATCGTATCAACCAATACCGAGGAAGAAAAAACAGTTGCAATAAAAGAATTTATACAATTTGCCTTCCTGCACAGGGCCCAAGAACCACTCGAGTGAAAGAGGCGCAGTTTGTCATGAAGATAACGGTTCACCCTTAAACAGGTTAAGATTGTAGTGATCGGGAAAGCATCCTCTTGGGAGTAGGTTCCACAAAGAAGCGGTTTGTGAGAAGAAGCTGTTCGAGTATATGCATAGCATGGCGGGTATTAACTGTGAAGGTTTAGAACGAATGGAATTAACTAATGTAGTTTGTCTGGGCACTTTCCATGGAAATAGTGATAGAGCAGCTCGACGCTTGCGATGTTTCGTCTGTGGGAAAGGGGTTGTAGGGTGGAAAATAATTCATCACCCACAAGGAAGCGAAGACGCTTTTGGACTCTATCGAGACTGGTAAGTGAAGACTATGTAGCTACTGTTCATATATGGAACCAGTATTCCATTATCTGTCTGGCCTGGCTCTTGTAAAAGTAAAGGGTAATAGGAGGAGTCAGGTACATACTGGAGTGGTACAGGGAACAGACTCATTTTCCAGTATCTTTAGAGATGGATCATATATACGAGTTCCATTCGAGTTCTGGGTTGAGTTTAAGACCCAAAAGGCGCTCAAGGAAAATCCATTCATCACGATAGGTGAAAATTTCGATTCCGCTCTGTGATGACGGAACATTACTAGTATGGTTTTTGAGGCATTAAATGTTGACCAGTCAGGTTACCCACTACTGAGCTGTTAAAGCTCGGTCAGGGAAGAGATCAGCTGCCAACCTCTGGTCATTTAGACTTTTAGATGTGTATCTACTCCTGCTCATTAGGAAATAGTAGGAATACAAGTAAAGCTAACTTTAAATTTTAACTATAATTGAATTACAGATTAGTCCTCTTATTTATTTTCAAAAAATAATTATAAATTCTATAAGTAGAAAGTGACTTGAGAGAGAGCTTTTGTCAACCTTTAAGCAAATTTTTAGGATCAGCTGCCAGGCTCTGGTCATTTAGACTTTTAGAGGTGTACTCTTTATACTGTTGGTATCACCAGCAAAGAGATTCACAAAGGACCAGAGTATACTCTTAGGCAGATCATTTATGCAAAGTAGAAAGAGGGTTGGGTCGAGAAGTGGGACTGGGGGCGCCTACGTTGATAGTTTCCAAAGAAACGGAGGGTGTTCATAAGGCGACTCTTGATCAACGACAAGTTAAAAATGTTTTTTCTCCAAAATTTGCTCTTTGAACAGAATCAGTATTGTGTAAGCGGAATACTCAGCATAATGGATAATAAATGTTTGATGACTGTCAATATCCAGTGAAAGGCTGCCTTTGGTACATAAGAAAAAACAGTGTTTATGGTCTTCGGCGAGATGAACTAAAATTCAAAATATGCAGTTCTACTGACTATATTTTAAAGGTTTAAATATAAGTGTGTGTGTGTGTGTGTATATATATATATATATATATATATATATATATATATATATAGTTGTATATTTAGGCAGCAATCCTTCGTTTATGCATGTTTTATTAAAAACGACAGACAAGGTACTACGGTTAAGCTTTTTACTTAATTTTTCTTGTGTTCGAACAAGAGCTTTCGTTTCTCGACAAAGAGTATGTAAAAACTGTCCAAATGTTTTATAGTTCCGAGCGCTTTCGGCTATACCGTTAGCCATTATCAAGTAGAAAACACAAATATATTAACTGCATCCACCTGTAAAAAAGATTAAAAATAATGGAAGCTTTAATAATAAAAAAAGAAACAACTCTTAACAATGAACAAGGCCACAATGTGCTAACCGTATTCGGAAATTAAAACATCCCTACAACACACAAAAACATACACATAATGCACACACTCAATTAAGCTGAAAAATTGAATCATCCTTGATAATGGCTAAAGGTTTAGCCGAAAGCGCTCGGAACTATAAAAAATATATATATATATATATATATATATATATATATATATATATATATATATATATAAATTCATTCATTGATTAATTTAAAATATTCTTGGGTTGCACGCTTAAGTCACTGTGACATTCTTAAAGTATATTTCATGACCTTTGACTTCACATTGACCCTTGGATTTCGGCTTTCAACTTCAACAAATATTTCATCGTGACGTCCATATAAAGTCAGACTTGAAAGAGATCAGTTAAGGTATGTCACTTGTGCTACCTGAGAGGGATTAGTTTCATTTGATTGAAAAAGGCCAAGTTCATTTTACCGTTCTCCAGAAATCAGTTCAAGCCA